TATATATATATATATATATATATATCCATCAGACACGGTGATGCACAGTGACCCGCTGTGTTTGAAGGTGATCGCTTATCTTTTACGCAAAGTTGAACGCTGCCCGCCCTTCTAAAATCTCTAAGGTCATGCAGTTTACTCTTCATTTCTCGGATAGTCCTACATGACGATCGTCAGTGATACTCCCAATGGATTTTATAACAGGCTTTACCTATTATATCATTTGCCCCAATTCACTTCCCCTTCTCTCAATCTTGTGGTGTAGTTCAACATTCGGAACATGCTCTCATCGCTCTTATTACGGCTTATCATATACATAAAGCGACCTCACCTATTCCAATAAGGTAAAGTAAGGCACATACTTCGGCAACGTGTCATCGCTCAACTTCTCTGGGTCTTTTTCCCCACAACTTTCATCATTATTGTCGGATGGCACGACCTATGTACGTATTTCACCCTCGTTCTAGCTGTTGCGGCGCTTCATTGTGTAAGATGAACTATCTGGGGTGAAAAACTGAGAAGCACTGTGTGACTTTCATCTTTGCTGATAATCAGCTCTGTGGCTGGGATATAGTGCCTCCATCCTACCATCAGATCACGTAACCTGCTTTTGACTGTGGAGGATGTCCGTACAAAGCTTTGGTACAACTTGCGTGCAGACTATATACGTCTAGCACTCTGACTGCAAGGATGAGTCGGCGTAACTCATGCGTGACGTACTCCCATTCTCGATGCAAAAAATGTGTAGTGAACCGGTCCAATAGCGAATTTTATGGGGCCTGGCAAAATGATTCGCTTTTGTACTGTTCACAGTATAAGAAAAAATGGATGGATACCGTTACCGTGTTGGAAGGGTTCCTTCTTCGTGAGTGCGCTTTTGCAGAAAACGACTATCCCTCACTCTTCAAAAATGATACCCACCTGCTCCTTCTGTGGATCCAAAGAAACGTTCCCTGTCGGCCTTGAACCTAATTTCCAACCTTCCCGAACCAAGGATAGGCCTCCTACTTACCTGCTACTGGTGTTCTGTTTTGTGGTTTCTAACTTACCAACATTGAATTGTCCGCCTATTCTGTGCCACGGGGTTTCTATTCTAACAATCGTCCAGAACACTTTGATCTAGCAAACAAGGTATTTGGCTTCCCTGTGGAGGTTATGAATCTGGATATGTGTCTGTGCAAAGCTTTGATGCTACTCTAACCCTAGATATGGTTGGTTGCGTCACTTATTCGCCCGTTTGCACTCTCTACGGCTTCCCTGTGGAGGTTATGAATCTGGATGTGTCTGTGCGAAGCTTTGATGCCACTCTAACCCTAGATATTGTTGGTTGCGTAACTTATTCGCCCGTTTGCACTCTCTAACCCGGCAGCATTCTGGCGTCTGGTTCTGTGTCTCAGTATTTTATATGAGCTGATCCTGGTATTCCTACTCTTCCAGGTAAGTTACCTCAATACCATTTACACTTCCTCTGTTACTTGTTACTGTATCATACATGAGCTCGGTTGTACATTGATCGGTATGAAGCAAGGGATTCGCCATAGGTGGCTGAATTACTGTTGGGCCTCTTGCTTTCTTTTGTGAAAAGCGGTGGAGCGGTGTGTTTTTGGGTGCTAGGCTGTTTGACATCTTTTAGTCGGAGTAAAATTCTGTTGGACGTGTTTGTTCGTCTTGGCTTATCTTTCAGTCGAAATCCGCTTTCCCATTGTCCCTAACCGTTGGTTGTCACTGATCTCCAGTTTTGTTTAAATTCATCTCTCAACTTGGTTCGCCTCTTGGTCTCACCGGAACTTTTCGTTCGCTTGCTAGCTTCGATTCCTGGCTTGCTTCTTTGGCGTATGACCGGTGTACGAGCAAATTAAATAAGTGCACCACAAACTTGGATTCTTTATCCACAGCATTTATTTTACGGAGATTTTCCCTTAGATCTTTTTGGCATGGACATAGTTGGCGAGGTGCAATTATTTTTTTGTTTTCATCGTTCACAAGAGTGCAAGTACAACGTAAACAATTTCTACGCGAAGCTGACCAGAAGGCCAGTTCCAGATTAGGCTTTTGTTAGCCGAACTCAGTGGTGTATACTCTAAATCAATAACTCACGACCTATTTCCATGACAAACTAGCCGCGCCTTCTCTGGATTCCCGCCATTCAACTCCGACTCATTATTTCTACTCAGCTCTCTGTTCTGCACCTCATGCGTGAGGCAGTGCCTGTTCAAACAGGTCTTTTGTGTGAAAGTTCACACCATTCACGGAGACTTCTGGTTTGTGAAAGCACAACGACCTTCTTCTAACCTACACTGTTTGCTGCTACTCCTGTTACTGCCACTGTATGTCAGAACGCTGAGCAGGACGTTTAAATTGGAATGTAGTGTGGAAATGTGAGATGTAGTTGTGTCGGCAAAAGAGTGCGCTCAGATCGACAGTCTCTTTGAAGTCAGGTCGCAGGTTCGTGCAAGGTTTCCAGCCGGTATTTGGCTGTGTTCTTTGCACCATCCTTTACTGAAGGCCTCATTCCAATCACAATCGTTTACTGCTTTTACTGTGGTGCCACCTAACTGAGATTTTACATTTGCGGTCGCTTGGCAACTGGACACCGCAGGGACGGTGCGAATCGAAATATGGGCGCCCGCATCTTTGATCCATCAATCGATGTTGTGGACTGAGCTTAAATATATGGTTGGCGTGACTAGCCCGCGCTATATCCTGATTATTTATACGTCACCTCAGACTTTATCTTTTCCAGGATTTCAGTTATCAATCAGATCGTCCTGAGCTAACATTCGGTCTCGGGACAGCTCAGTCGCTAAGACGCCAAGTTACTGGCCTTGGATCGAACCCAACTTCTGCAAGTCGACTGTCTAGGCTCGGGCAACCATAGCTGTATGTTAGTCCTCGTTTTTCCCTCAACTAGCGTGGCAGCTGGTCACCGAAAGAATTTCGGAGCTGGACGATTACTTTCTTTTCCTAATTAGTATTGTCACTCATGTGGGTTTACTGTAGTTCCGTAAGCACAGTTTAACAATTGAGGTAGCCAGGTTTTCTCTACACTGGCTTTGTTTAATATCGTTGTACCGGGTATTTATAAATATGTCAATCACGCGCAGTTTATTTGGATGTTAAAAATTACAACAGACAGTCAACGTAGTATATTTACTAACCAAAATCCTGTCGGGACGTTCAATTCACTTCTTTGTCACTTTTAGTGAATAGTGTACTCATGTATACTTGCCTTTCATAGTCATTCACTTGGGAAATCCCGTACAGTGCCATCCAAGCACCCTGTGAAGTTACAACGTGCCTTTTTCTGATGTTTCCACACCCAATCTTCCCATGCAAAGCATCCGTATACGTTATTGAAACATTTATGCTAACAGATCAACATTCAGTTTTTCTAGCACTCATTGACTTGATACTCTCGATATTGATAATTTGGGTGGACATTCCAGTTCACCGGTTGGTGGGTCTGATCATCAGACCGACGAACCACTGTGGATGCAAACGAACAAAGGTGGATGGACTGGAAAAGGAAAGCCTCAAGACAACCCTGACACCCGCCAATCAGAAGGTCAACCAACGAACCCACCCAAACGATCACTGATCGGTCAAGGTTGACCAGGATGAGTGGAGCCTACAGCGGATACGCAGATACTCACGAAGAAGCCGGCAGATGTTTACTGAGTGGAGCCTACAGCGGATACGCAGATATCAGTACGCAGATACTGACGAAGAAGCCGGCAGATGTTTATTTGGGACACTCAGTGCCGATTGGCTCAGGTCGGCAGCGGAGCCAGCTGAAGTTTCCAAATATTCGAGCGCATTTGGTAAGGCTGGTGGGCGATACTACAGATGACTGTATTTTTTCACGTTAGGGTTCGGCGTCTTGTTGGGATACAATCTTACGGAGGAACCTGCATTCAGGTGACTCGGTAATCTAGGTTGGAACGATAGATTCAAACGTGATGGACTTAGTCCGCGGTGAAAAAGTGAATTTTGTCATTGCCACCAGAAGGAAGCACGAGAACTGGGATACTGCCAGGTCGCCCAAGCCTAGACAGGGGAAATCGAGTAGCAGAGGTCGGGTTCGAACCACGGACCTACCGGTCAGTAAATTCGCGCTCTAACCACTGAGCTATCTCGCCTTGTCTTTGGTAGCGTTTGTTCTCTCGCATTGTATTTCGTCGTAACCTGTTCAAGAAAACATTCGCACAGAACGCTAGCTTTCTTTAGTGGGTGCCGGGCTCCCATCAGAAGCTAGCTGGCGCGGTAGAATCCCAACGATTTTGATTGGTGAATAGCCCAAAGTGCAACGCAACAGTAACCCTGAACTTGTAATTTTACGGTGAAAACGCTTCCAATCAAGTCGAGTACGGGTTTGTTTGGTGTACTTCGCGCTCGGTCACCGACATTAGTTCGATCTTCTGTCATTAGCTTTCACATCGATGGAATATATTTCCCATCGAATCCGTTTTCCCTTTCAGAATGTGGATGATGCACGACAGTGGCTTCGGTATTTGGACCCAAATTTAGGTAAGCCCTTGTCGGAGCAGGACTATGGCGGGAATTGTATCATATATGATCGAGCTTATCCAGAAGACCCGTGGCACAACATTCGGGTGCGTCTGTCTGTCTGTCTATCTGTTTTGGTCGGCACTTGCTTAAATTCTCTCCGCTCAAAACTGTTGGGTGGACCGTATTGTGAATCTGGGATGTTACAGAATAGGACCTCCTGCTGAATTCGGCATAGTTTAAACAGCTTCTTTTTACTTCGTCTGACTAGGTGGTGGAGACGGCAGCACATCAGAAGCGGTTATACGACAGTTTTCAACACCGATGTTGTTGTTAGTAACGCTGACGGTGACTGAAAAATGCGAAGGAATTGCGCGCTACTGGGGCGGATCGAACACGAACCTGTTAGTTTTAGGCAACCCAATCAATCTGGTAAAAAACGCATCGAAAGTTATCGGGGTCCAGTAAGTCGGTAAAGTTCCTTCACAACTTAGGGAAGCCGACCTTTGGCTTGTCAGTACCTTTCTTCTAGTTCAGACGTGGCCATAACCATCGCAAAAGCGAGATAAACAAAGATGTTGAGTGTCTGATTGCCAGGGCCTACAAAGCACTACTTGAGTCTAGTGATGCTTTGGTAGAACTTCTAGCTGTTTTTCAAAGAGCGTACGCTCTCACACTCAACCAGACTGTCTATACTGCCTACTTTATACTCCTGAGGACCTGTCTAGCCGTACGCAACGAGAAAAGCCGGGCAGACCTGGCTGTGCGGTGTTAATTCTTTTCGTCTACTCTTATTGTGTGCAGCGTGATTCCTCATTTTGTTGTTTCCCGCCTTTTTTATTTTGACCTGAACGCAAACTGCTCTTTGACCTTGTCATCACACGTCTTGTTTAAATCAATCAGGTGGGTATCGCCATCTTGCGGCCACCTTACCTTGAGTCGGTGTGAACTTTGCCATCCCGTTCGTAATTAGCAGTTCTTAAACCGGTGTAATCCCACGATCTGAGTACTATTGATTGTTTCCAGCAATCAATTGGGCCACGTTTGGCTGGCCATACATATGTTGATAAGCCTCCATCTGAATGACATATCAACACAGTCAATGATGCTACTGCTTGTCTTTACCGAACCTCACTCCTGCAAGAGCTTCCATGCACCAACCAATACGGGCAAGCTGTTACCTAAGTCATCTTCTGTTGCTCTCAGGTAGTCCGCGGAATGGGAATAGTTATGCAACGTGCAGCCACATTATCTTGGCCTAGGTTTTTTTCAAGCTTGATAAGTGGTTTTGTGTACACTTGGTTTCATAATAAGACGGCTTGCACGTACATGTTTGCACACCTGTCGCTTATTTCGCACGAGGTCTGAAAAATCACATCTGGAATCATGTCCCAGGATGTGAATGACCATCCACCCAATGTGTGATCAATCACAAAGATGTGGCTTACCTATACGGACCTGCAATTCAAGTCCAGATCCCTCCGTAAGAAAGAAAGAAAGCGTTCAGCTGTAGCACCCTTCCGGTGCCTAACTGCCATGCCACCCGAAGGAAGCACGAGGGCTAGGATACTGCCAGGTTGCCCAAGCCTAGACAGGGGAAGTCGAGTGGCGGAGGTCGGATTCGAACCACGACCCTTCCGGTCAGTAAATTCGCGCTCTAACCACTTGGGCCATCTCGCCCTCCGTATAAAGACCACTCCTCCATTCTCAGTGTTGGTGATTAGTCTCTTGTTAGCTAGGATTTCGGTGTGCCCAAGGGTTCATGTCCGGAGTGTTTTCTGTTCGGACCCGTCTCTCTATGCACCAGGACTGAACATTCTGGCCGTTTGTCGATCTTGCCGCTTGTTTTTGGGTCGTAAGGCAACTGTGCATCTAAAGGAGAGGCTGAGTCATGTAATGTTCACAGTGTGTTCACGAGCAAGTCGGACGACATTGTCGTTTATAGCTTGTAATGTTTCTTTCCTCAGGAGACGTATTTTCCAGGCTTTCCCAGTCACCCACATCCCAACTCTTGGTGGATTCAAACTATACCTCCAAACTATGTGTGATCATCTGAGTAAGAATCAATACCCGAGCACACACAGCTCTTACATTAGGTTACTGGAAATGGCCCTTTGACGCACCATATCAGTTCCATGCTGTTTCTATCATCCGTTCGCCCTGTTTTTTTTTCTTTCAGGAAAAAATGGATGTATTCGTTCTGGTACATTTTTTCGGTTGGTGGCTTAAGACTTTGATTGTTCGCGACTACTGGTTGTGCAACGTGCTCAGTTTTGCCTTTGAACTGATGGAATACACGTTGGAACATCAGTTGCCGAATTTTTCCGAATGTTGGTGGGACCATGTGAGTTGTATTCCTCTTTCTTTCTCTATCTAGCTGGGTCTTTTTCGCACGGACCTACTTGTTTCCGATAATATGAATAACAATTATTATTATTATCTATTAGGGGGGTGAATATCCTCTTACGGCTTAGTTGTACAACAACCGTGACCAATTTTCTTGGCTCCATGGAATTACAAACATACTTAACTTTTCATGAAGAAAACTACTCACAAGGTTGCTGAAAACTCTTCGACAGCCCACGACCGGTTTCGCCCTTCTTGGGCTCATCAGGTAGGCGCAGTCCCCGAGTTGTCGTCAATCTTATGATCTGCTTGAACCCAAATTGCACTGTTTTCGAGAAATACACTCATTTGCAAATCAATTTGGTTTTCACGAGAGACTCAACTGAATCTCTCGTTTATGATATTCTACAACTGAATGTGCTGCACACAGGACGCCTCATGTTTCAGTTGGCACGATATTCGAGATATCACAGTGTATTTTCACGTGCAGCACTTTCAGCTGTCGAATATCACATACGAGAGTTTCAGTTGAGCCTCTCGTGAAGATCAAATTGATTTGCAAATGAGTAATCCTCATACTTAACTTGCTCGGACACACCTGATGAGCAATAGTCGCATGCCATTAGCGATTTGGTCTGCGCGTCCTGTCTCATAAACAGCCGCGCGTCACTCCGGTTGTCCCCTCGATGATGAACTGACGTGGACTCTGTTAACATTTCGCACCCCGTAGCTACGTTAGGTACCACCTTTCTTTTCAGTTGCTTTTTGCCGTTGAGTAACCCAATTCTTACTTTGAAAGTGAAAGTAATCCACGCCAAGTCATGTTCGTGAAAGGCCTGGGTTTCACATATACACGCACCAGTCTGTGGACTCATGTTTCCACAACGCAGCTGGGTCCCTGAAACAACTAAGATAAGCTAGACTTTTCACTAGTCATGAAGCTGAGACAGTTTAATTGCGCAGCCCGACTCTCTTAGAGCACTGTTAGCAAACAAAATTACTATTCACCCAGGTTGCAGTTCTGTAAAACTGTGTGCTCTGGATTCTGACAATTAGGTCGACGCAATCCCGTTCATCGTTTCGTGCTTTCGATCACACATCCTATCCGCCGTAAGGCAGACTCTATCCGTTTATTTGTCTACACACATCTCATACATGTCTTCACTTTCTAACGAGCGTTTTTTTGGCTTTACACCAGCTTTTCTACTCTTCCTTGGGGGCGAGATGGCCCAAGTGGCTAGAGCACGTATTTACTGACCGGAAGGTCCGTGGTTCGAATCCAACCTCTGCCACTCTACTTCTGTCTAGGCTTGGGCAACCTGGCAGTATCCCAGCCCTCGTGCTTCCTTCAGGTGGCATGGCAGCTAGGCACCGGAAGGGTGCTACAGCTGAACGCTTTCTTTCTTTCTTCCTTGGTTCGAATGTCCTTTTGTCCCCCCCTCTTCACCCTCGTAAGCATAAGCAAACCTCGAATACCGGCGAGAATAGGTGACAGGCAGTATGACAATAGCCCTAAATACGTAGCCTACCGGTCAGTCATCTACAAGCGGAATCGTCACTCAGTTGGGGAAAGTTGGGAACTGATTGAGAAGTCATCATTTTGGAAGGGCTTGACAACCTGCTCACTTGGCCTGGCGAAGTGTGTCAAAATCTTCCTTGGTTCGAATGTCCTTTTGTCCCCCCCTCTTCACCCTCGTAAGCATAAGCAAACCTCGAATACCGGCGAGAATAGGTGACAGGCAGTATGACAATAGCCCTAAATACGTAGCCTACCGGTCAGTCATCTACAAGCGGAATCGTCACTCAGTTGGGGAAAGTTGGGAACTGATTGAGAAGTCATCATTTTGGAAGGGCTTGACAACCTGCTCACTTGGCCTGGCGAAGCTTTTGTGTCAAAAACGTAACGTTGCCCAGTTAAAAACTACTGAAAGTTAGGCAAGACCTTTTGAAATGGTTCATCACCATCTGTTTCTAAGTAACTAAAAATTTTCGCCTTGCTAGAGAGGAGACAACAAAGCGTCACCGCACTTAATATCCGATTTTGTGAAGAGTGGCGAAATAGAACCTGACGTTTCGCCGTTAGTATCGTCTCTGGAAATTTGTGGAAATCGGTTTGAACTTCCGCACTCGAGCCACCACTATTTCTGCAGATTGAACCTCGTCATCATCTGCTCACGGGCCACATAACAAAGGGCGTTACTATAATGAATAACCTTGGTTTTCGTTTCAGAAGAGCTTGGTACACAATCGGTAGTTTTTATTTGGGCAACGTTTCGCTTTTGACACAAAAGCTTCATCAGGCCAAGTGAACAGGTCACCAAATTGGCCAGGTTATAAGACACGGGGAACCAATCAGCTGACACGTGTTGGTGTGCGATCATCAGAAGGAAGAGTGGTCATCATCAGAATTCCACTTGACCTCACCCCCCTCAAACTAAATTGTCGGAGCACTCACAACCCCACAAAGACCAGGGAAAATCTACCAGTGGCACCCGAGGTGAATCATTCAGCAAAGCACCCTGAAGATTAAGGAACGAAAAGCGATCGGAATTAATTTGGAACTCCTCCAACCCATCAATTCAGGATTTTCGCACCCACACTAGCCAACAAAAGCCGTTAATTGAAGAGGACTTACTGATTGGGTCCCCGTCTGTCTTATAACCTGGCCAATTTGGTGACCTGTTCACTTGGCCTGATGAAGCTTTTGTGTCAAAAGCGAAACGTTGCCCAAATAAAAACTACCGATTGTGTACCAAGCTCTTCTGAAACGATGACTTCTCAGTCGGTTCCAAACTTCTTCCAATTGATTGAAAACCTTGGTTTTCAGTCAAGACCGGTCCTGTTCCCTAACCCTAACTATTTTTCGAATGTTTGGTTCTGTCCGTGAATAACTGCCGATGACTGTGCGACCATAGGTTTATGGGTTTGCCATTGTATTTTGAGAGAGCACGCGAGAGGGCTGACCAAAAGTGTTCCCTTCTGTGATAGGCATTACAATCCCGGAAAGTTAATTAAAAGATACGATTTCCATACCTATTTCATCTTTACTAACCCTAATAAGCTTGTCTATGTATGATTGCTGGCTTGTTCGTAGGCGTAGTGTACCAAATCACGTTGAACTTTAAGTGAAGCTAACGTGCCGTGGAGCGTGTGTCATCCCGTTTTCTCCGTACGGTCTATCTATGCCGGGTCGTTCTGCAGGTAAACAATGAGATACACTCATTTGCAAACTAATTTGGTTTGACTAGGAGATGTACAGGACGCTTGGAGTCAAATGCCATCGAGGATTCTTTTCAGTTATGGGGGGAGAAAGCTGGGAAAATAACAGTGAATATTAAGTAAAACACGTCCTGTACACCTAGTCAAACCAAATTAGTTTGCCAATGAGTGTATATTCGCTGATTCCGTGCAATTTGGTTCCAAGTAGAACATAAAGTTGACGGAAACCCGGGGACTGCGCCTACCTGTTCAGCCCCAAAAAGGGCGAAACCGGTCGTGGGCTGTCGACGGATTTTCAGCAACCTTATGAGTAGTACATTACAAATAAACAGTGAGATGTTTGGTTGTGCTCAGTAAAACTAGTCCAAATAAATATACGATCAACCTGGGAATCACGTGTCAACCGCTTAGTGCTTGATCCTAGTTGCAAACGCAAGTGCGTTTATTGGTTGTTGATCAGGTGACCTTTGATCTGTCCGCCAATCAGTTCATCATCATTCGAGGTGGCGTCTTCACTGCACATTAATGATGTCACAGTGATTGGCAACGCGACGTCCGCAACCTAGTTGCCAAACGCGGAGAGCAGATCAACCAGCAGTCGCTCTTAGTAATACCACAACTGAGCTCATTGAGTTTGCTTGTTTGCTTATTCCACTGTGGCGATCGCCTCTTTAGACATCACCTTTTTTTCATCGTAAACATAGGCTGTTCCTTTCTATGCACTTTGGATTGTGAACGAGCACTCCCTTAAAAGGTCGAATGCCCATTTAAACTGTCTTTTGGGGGAACAACGTTTTCTTTGCTCCAAACCAATGTGCCATATCAAATTTTCCAGATCACTGGTTTGTGAGTCTCCCTTCTGCGAAGTTAAAACACCAAACTACCACACAATCCAGCTAAATACACTCAGCCGCACACCAATTTGGTCTTAACGGGACATTCAGCTGGATCCCAATTGAATCTCTCGTCTATTCAGCCTTGTGCAACACATTCAGTTGAGTTGAGGAATATCACAAACGGGAGATTCAGCTGGGATCCAGTTGAGTCCCTCACTAAGATTAAAGTAAGGTGCAACTAAGTGCGTTTCGGGATCTGTGTACAACTTCGGTTCAAACAGAACATGAGTTTGACAGAAACACCCGTACTGCGCCTACCTGATGGGTCACAAGTGGGGCGAAACCGGTTGTGGTCTGTCTACGGTTTTCAGCAATATTATGGGTATTTTCCTTCATCAACACAATACGCCATACTTTGGTTTACAGTTGTAAAGCTGAACCAAACGGATGCAGACGTGCAGCTGACACTACGGCTGTCTATAACTACCGTAGTTCAGACATACACGTGGGATTACAAACCCAGTTAAACGATGTTCTTATGTATTCCAGACAACATAACCTTTCCTCTGATTCTCCAAGGGACAAGATATTACCTTGTCTCGTATTTCGCAAAAGCACTACCCAAAACCATTTTGACAGCTTGCCGTCGCTCTTGACTAAGACTATCTCTCTGCCTAGGTGTGCCGCTGTGAAACACATCGCCCCAACTCCAAACCTTCCGCCAACGACCAACAACCTTAGCTGTAAGATCCCAGCCCGACCTAAAGCTGCCACCTTGACGTGGTGGTCAGGCTTGAGTGCTGCAATGATCCCACGGGCTACACTGGCTGGGACTTCGTTCCACAAGGTGAAACCATGCCAGGAAGGCCAAAGGGGAGCAGCCAGACCAAAGGCATCGAGACCCCGTACTACGAGTAATCGTGCTACGAGGCGGTCTGGGGGTAAAGTCGTACTGTCCTCTGCGACAGGAGTGTGAAGGCAGTAAGATGTTTCCCC